TTTGCTTCAGTTTCCTCCTGCGTAAAGATCAAACTGGAGGCCGGACTGATGCTTCTCCCTGCAGCCACGCTCGAACCCAGATTCATCAACAAGCTTCGAACTCTGGGAAAAACCCTTCGGTGTAATTAAGGTCACTCAGCACATTTGTTGCACACCCTGGTTGATCAGGAAGAGGAAACAAGAACAAGGAAGCTAAAGCTAATGCTGCAAAGGCCACAGATGAGGAAACGATTATTAGCCCACCAATGAAATTCAAAGTTTAGTCTAAATTCTTCCAAGTGCTTTTTTAAGACGGAGGAATTGTCATCAGTGTAAAGGATCAGTGATCTCAGTTTGTACATGATAACAAAATCATCTCAGGACAAACTAAAATGACCAAAGTCAATATTTTTAGTCCCTTAAAAACAAGTGAGAGGAGTCTGCAGCTGAAGCCTCCTTTGCTCCTTCTTTGTTTAACAAAGACCCTACAATAATACATACAGAGAAAAACCCCCTATGAACAAGCACTTTGGCGACAGTGGGAAGGAAAAACTCCCTTTTAACAGGAAGAAACCTCCAGCAGAACCAGGCTCAGGGTCAATCCCCCAGCAGCCTACGTCTATTGCAGCATAACTAAGGGAGGATTCAGGGTCACCTGGTCCAGCCCTAACTATATGCTTTATTGTGGGATTTTCCTCCATTATCTGATCTGTGGGAATAAATGACCACATGCTCAAATCCTCCAGAGCTGTAATCCAGGAGCTTTGGGGGTAAATCATGTCTGAAGGTGAGCTGATGCCACCTGGTACTCGAGCCCTGGTGAAACGTGTAGTTTCTCTGAGACGTGTGCGGTGACATGAAAGGTCAGCTGATGTGTTTGGACCTGCTGAGCGAGGCTGTTTGGCAGCTTAGACAGAGCCTGAAACTCCTGCAGCTCCGTCCCTTTGTTACGTCTGTACAGAGCAGATGGCAAACACACTGCTTCCTGTCAGCGTTACCGAGAAGTCAGTATCAAGCATATAAAACATGGCAGCCGTAAAGAGGCGTGACTGTCTAAATACTTTGGGCTGTAGATCATCGTTCTGCAGAGACACCAGAAGCTCGTTCAGTGTGGACGCATCGTCTTCCCACCTCAGTATTTGCACGTGTTCAAAGAAACGGACGCAGAAATCTGCTTCCTGCTGTGGCTCAGGAAGTAGAGCGGGCGATCTGGTTATCAGAAGGTCGTGGTTTGATACCCCGGTCCGTGCGCTGTCTGTGGGTGAGGTGCTGAACCCCGATACCAGCTGTACTCTGAGTCAGTCGCCC